CACACACACACACACACACACACACACACACACACACACACACACACACACACACACACACACACACACACACAGTGATGCAGGAGCCTCTCACAGCCAGGGCCATGGGTGGTGTGTCCTCTCTGGGTCTCTGCAGGGGTCTGGGCCGAGGATGAGGGTCTCCTCTCAGCTAAAGATGTTCCTGGCCGACCCCAGAAGGACCACAGCTAGAGGTGCAGGAGTCTTCCCACAACCTCTAGTGGGAGCCAGCCCCCACTAAGAACTCTCCAGATCTTACACAACCCCCTCAGGCACCCTTGCTTATTCTGGGGACTCCCCAGAGCCCCTCCATGGCCCCTGACATGATATGTAGCCCCGAACAAGGCACAATCCTTCTTTGAGCCTCAGTTTACTCTGTGAGATGGGGGATGGGTTAGGAGCTCACGTGGTTGTGGAGAGGACTGATAGGGATGCCTCCTAGGTAAAGGCTGGGCATAGAGCAGACACGTGGTCAGAGGGAGGCCCCCTAGGGGCGGAGGAAGTGGCCAGTATCAGGTGCCTGTTTCCATGGGACTTCAGGAGTGTGGCATTGAGGCGGTCACTTGAGCTGCCTGTTGCCCCCAGGACCTGGAGAAGCCAACAGCCATTGCCTACCGCATGAAAGGGGGAGACCAGCCTGCTGGAAGCGGCAGTAGCGATACTGAAGACACCCCCAGGAGACCCCCAGAGCCAAAGCCAAGTCAGTGCCTCCCTCGGGTGGTTCCAGGGTTAGGCAGGGCTGGGGCTACTAGCTGGTCCTCAGGCACCTTCATGTGCTAGGATGGAGGCAGCCACAGGCATGGTGGGGTGAGAGGACCTGGGGGTGGGGTATGGTAGGGAATTCCTGTTTCCCTCCATCTCTGTGCCCATCTGTGCCCTCTGATCCGGCTCCCCTCAGTCCCAGGCCTGGATGCCTCCACTTTGGCTCTGCAGCAAGCCTTCATCCACAAACAGGCCATGCTGCTGGTGAGTAAGGGAGGGACTTCCAGGGTTGTGGGGGTGGAGAATGGACCTCCTGGTCACCATCTCTCCCTCTCCCCAGGCCCGGGAGATGACTCTGCAGGCCATGGCACTTCAGCAGCAGCCCCTGAGCCCCACCCCAAGATCCTTGCCCCCAGAGGTAAGCCTGGGCCACTCAGGGTGAAGAGGTTACTTAGAGACGCAAGCTGTACAGAGATGTGCTATGCTGCCCCAGGGCACAATTGTGCCTCTCTGAGCTCAGAAGCCCCACAGCCCATCTTAGCCAGAGATGGGGTCCCTGAGAGCAGGCTGGTGTGTCCTAGGCTCACACCCTGCTCTCCACAGAAACCCCTTGCATCAGAGGCATGGCCGAAGTCTGTAGGCACTGGTCCCCCAGCCAAACCTGTGCTCCTGTGCTCCGCCTCAAAGCCCTTGGCTTCAACCCCTCTGGCCAAGGCCCCAAGGCCCCCCACCAAGCCCGTGGCTGCCCCCATTCTAGCTCAGGACCAGGATTCTCCAGAAACCAGTAAGTGACCTACCCAGCCTTGGGGGTGCCCCAGGACAAGACTGGGTGTGTGGTTGTGGCCCCTGTGGCCTCACCCTGTCCCCTACCTCCTCTCCTGCCCACAGCTTCGCCCTCCCCTGAGCTAGTCCGGTACTCGACGCTCAACTCAGAACACTTTCCACAACCCACGCAGCAGATCAAGGACATTGTCAGGCAGTACCAGCAGCCACCCCGGGGAGGCCGGCCTGAGGCCCTCAGGTCAGTGCTGCCCCACCCCCAGCCCTCCAGCCCACCAACGAGTGGCCTCATCACTGCCCGAGTGTCCACCATCATTGTGCCTGCCCACTGGGTTAAACAGTGCCCTGCCCAACTCCTGTTAGGGAGTGAGTTTGTTTATGCCAGTGGGTCTAGAGGAACCTCTGGGGCAAAGGTCAGACTGCTGTTGTGTGGGTTGAGCTGTGTGACCTCAGGGGCTCTCTGCTTCTGTGTCCCTTGGTTCTCATTTATAATGGTGGAGGGTGGGGAGGAGGAAGTACCCTATTGTAGGAATTGGTGGTGGAAAAGGGGAGACTTAGTGTCCAACCCACCATGGTTCACCAATGTCTACCAGGAAGGATGGTGGGAAGGTGTTCATGAAGCGGCCAGACCCCCATGAGGAGGCTTTGATGATCCTGAAGGAGCAGATGACTTACCTGGCAACAGCGCCTGGCACCCAGGTGAGGGCGCAGGGTGGGGCTGGGCCCAGGTGGAACAGAAGACAAAGAGGGTCCTCTGGGAAAATCTCAGAAATCAGCTACCCCTGTAAGCCCTGGCCCTGCCGCTTCCCCCTCCATAGGCCCTGCCTGTTGCCCCCTGAGCACTCTCTTTGGGGTGGGACAGGTGTCCAGAGAGGCTGTGGCCATGGTGAAGCCAGTGGCCAGTGCACCAAGACCATCCATGGGGCCCACTGCAGGTGAGAAGGCCAGGAGGGAGGGAAGAGCTATGGGCAGGGTGTCCAAGTGTATGAGTAAGACTGTGAGCACACAGAGTCTCAGTCTGCACGTTGGTGGTGTGTGTGTGTCTGTGTCCCTGAGCCCTTGTGGAAATTGCTGTGATTATATCAACACTTGAATAACACTGACTTCAGGCCAGGCACCACCCACCCTGGCCTCACTTAATCTTACTAAAATGCTTCGAGTCAGTACCATTTGTTCCAACATGTTACAGATGGAGAAATGGAGGTGCAGAGAGGTTAAGTGGCCTGCCCAAGGTCACACAGCTCAAAAGTGTCAGACCGGGGATATAAACCCAGGCCTCTTGGCATCACAGTTGGGCCCTAACCTCTATACCCTCTGTCTCACAGCAGCAACAGTGATCTTACAAGATATAGATTGGTTCATACCGTGTCCTTGATGAAAACCCTCTGGTGGCTCCTATGATAAACTCCAAACTCCTCACTGTGGCCTCTGAGACCCTGCATGATCTGCCCACCCCCCTCCCCAGCCTCATCTCCTCCCCGCTCCCCTTGGCACATTCTGCTCCCCTCTGTTCCCGGAACACACCAGGCTGGCCCCTGCCTCAAGGCCTTCACACTTGCTGTTCCCTCTGCCTAGAATGCTCTTCCCCAGGGTCTTTGTATGCTTGGCCCCTTCTCACCATTCAGGTCTCAGCTCAAATGTCACCTCCTCAGAGAGGTCTGCCTAGACCATCTGGACTGAAGGACCCTTACAAGGCAGCCCCCCAGACTCTTTCCTAAATCACCTCTTTACTTCCACCCCAGCCCCTAGCCCTAAGAGCTTTGTTGTTTCTGAATTGTCTGTTCCACCCACACCTGCCGTGAGACTAAACTCAAGGGCAGGGGTCTTCTCTATCTTGTTGATTGGGGCATCCTCACCCTCTAGCACAGGCCTGTATACAACTGGTGCTCTGTACATGTGTTGAATGAAGGGCTGGGTCGTGTGAGTGTGTCCACTTGAGTGGGCGTGTCTACAGACTGCCCCAACCCGTTCCTTGACACTAGGTTGCCCCCCATCACCTCCTCTCCCACTTTGACCTGAGAGGTGCCTCTTCATGCCTCCCCAACCCCCTGCGCTCTCTAGTGCTGCCTTCGCGGTCACTGGAGCCCCCAGAAGAACCCGTGCAAACACGGCTGCACCGCCTCATCAACCCCAACTTCTATGGCTACCAGGACACCCCCTGGCGGATCTTCCTGCGCAAAGAGGTACCTGGCCGGGCCTGGGCCAGAACCAGGAGGAGGGCTGAATGGGGACAGGGGATTCCAGAAGTTGCGGGGCATGCCCAGGAGAACAGAGTCAGACAGGGCTGGAGCTAGGGGTGGAGCCCGAGTCAGGGGCAGGGCTGGTATAGAACGTGGCTGTATCTGGGGGCAGGGAGGGCAGCATGAATCAAAATGAGGAGGCGGTCTGAAGGCACCTTAGGCTCCCCCCCCCCACAGGTGTTTTATCCCAAGGACAGCTACAGCCACCCTGTGCTTCTAGATCTCCTGTTCCGGCAGGTGAGGTCCTCTTTTCCCTTTCCACATAGACTAGCTGTCTGCAAATTTTTTTTTTTTTTTTTTTTTTTTTTTTTGGCTGGCCGGTATGGGGAACTGAACCCTTGGTATTACAAGGCCGTGCTCTAACCGACTGAGCTAACCGGCCAGTAAGCTTTCTGCAAATTCTCCTTGTGCAGTCTGAGATCTGGGGTCCTCGACCTGGGTGAGGATGGGAAGCTGTTCTACTGAACCCCCTACTCCCATGGACAGGGTCAGTGAGCTCACAATTTGATCTAATCAGAGTCACAGTTTGTTTGTGCTAGACAGGGTCCCAGAGATCAAATCCAACTTTACCGTATGGATTAAGACACTGAAACCTGGGAAAGGCAGCATGGGCTGCAGAGGTGAGCAGAAAGGAGAGGTCCTATAAGTGGAATCTGATTTACACAGATGGCCCAGTTTATGGGTGACCCCATTGCTGCAAAATGGGACTCCCCCCATTTCCAGTCATCCTAGAACAGTCCAGCTTGGGTTCTCAGCTCGGGGAGTCCCACCTGCAACCCACGTTATGGCTCATTCCGCAGATCCTGCATGACACACTCTCCGAGGCTTGCCTGCGCATCTCCGAGGATGAGAGGCTCAGGATGAAGGCCCTGTTTGGTATTGGGGGGTGGGGTGGGCATTGAGGGGGCAGCCAGCCAGAGCCACAGCCAGCCTGTTCCTGGAGGGAGACTGAGGCTGACAAGCCCAGCCCATTTGCCTCCCAGACATACCCCGCCCCACTCTGCTGCTGCCCCTTTCACGGCCAGGCTGTGTATTTGATGTTGGCAATGCCTGGCAAGTTGTGTGGCCTTGGCCATCCCATTCTGCTCTAGGTTTCAGCTTACCAGTGTAGACACTGATCAGATAGCTTCCTTCTGGGTGTCGGCCTCTTTTCCTAACCTCCCTGAGCTGTGGGCAGGAAGGGGCAGGGGGATCAAGTTCTGACCAGACCTGGCCTCCCCAGCCCAGAGCCAGCTGGACATGCAGCGGCCCCTGGCAACAGAGAATGTGAAGCGGGCCGTGGTTACCACTGCACGAGACAGCTGGGAGGTCTACTTCTCCCGCCTCTTCCCTGCCATGGTGCGAGCTCCACCTGTCCCCTGCCTGCCTGGGGATTCAGGGATGAGGCTAGAAGGTCCTCACATGCCCCTCATCCCCGTCCCAGGGCAGTGTGGGCACTGGTGTGCAGATCCTAGCTGTGTCCCACATGGGCATCAAACTCCTGCGGATGGTCAAGGGCAGCCGGGAGGCTGGCGGGCAGCTGCGGGTCCTGCGTGCGTACAGGTAACCAGCTGGCGGGGAGGAGTGGGGCTGGCTGGTGACTGGAGCACAGATGGTCACCAACATTTCTTCATTCTTTCTACAGCTGCTTAGCAAGTACCTATGATGTGCCAGGCTCTGTGCAGAGCCCTTTAATCAAGCCCATTTTAGAGAAGGGGAAACTGAGGCTCAGAGAGAGACATTGCTTGTCTCAGGTCACACAGCCAGGAAATGGATGAGCTAGGCGCCCACTTCCCCATCCTGCCTCTTGGACTCCACACCAGCCCTGCCCTCGCAGATCTCACTGTGCAGTGGGGCAGCTGTGCTGTGAACAACCAAATCCTCATGCAGCTGGGAAGGGACATGGTGCTCTGGCCATGAGACCTTACCGAGTCCTCAGACTCCCTCCCTCTCTTGCTAGAAGTCCCTTTTGTCCTTTATAACATGAGGACAGGAATAGAGCCTTGCTCACTGGTTGGGTCAAATCTCCTTGCTTTGAGAGATGGAGAGAATTTGGTCAATAGGTGAAAAAGATTTGTGTGGGCATAATCTGGGAGGTTGGACCAAGAGCAAAGGGTGGAGAGTGGCTGGAGTGTTGGTCCAAAGGTGGTAGGAAATGAGCTGAAGCCACAGGTGGGGTTGGGGGCGGAGGCAGAAAGTTCTTTGGGTCTCTGGTGCAGTTTGCCTGGTGCAGCAGGGCTGAGCTGGGGCTGGGCTTCAGGAGTGGGGCAAGGCAGGAACAGAAGGCGCGCCATCGGTGGGGTAGGGCACCCTGCTGCCTGTGAGGTCTTGCCCTCATGCCACTGTCCCATCCTCCAGCTTTGCAGATATCCTGTTTGTGACCATGCCCTCTCAGAACATGCTGGAGTTCAACTTGGCCAGTGAGAAGGTCATCCTTTTCTCAGCCCGAGCTCACCAGGTCAAGACGCTGGTGGATGATTTCATTCTGGAGTTGAAGAAGGTCAGGATCCTTCTGCAGGTGACCCCCACTAGCTGGGGCAGGGCCCAAAAGCAGGGCTCTCCCACCTCAGAAACATGCCAGCTACGCTGCTTGGGAAGCATGAATACATGTGTGTCCATGCCAGCGACAGTGTGCCCACTGTGTGCCTCAGGCCTTTTCACAGGCTGTGCCTGCCACTTGGGATGCCCTTTCCACCTTTGGCCTGCTCCTTCAGAAAACCTTTACTGATGCCCTCAGCAGGGTGGCATCACATCTGAGCCCCACAGCAGTTATACTCCTCACCCTCCTGCTGTGACTCCCCTGCCCTCCCACTGCGTTCCCTGTCTCTAGGCAGCCCTGGCCTAGAGCAGCTCACCTCTGTGTCCCAGGCCCAGCACCTGGCCCGGGGAAGGCTTCAGTGGGAAGGTCTGGTGAGGGGTTGAGTGGGGAAGGTACATCTGCATGCCCTAACATCCATCTACGCTCATGAGACTCAGGCCTCCACCCTTCGCAAGGCTCTTCCTTGTACCTGAACACCCTTCCTTCCTGTCACCTGATGAATGCTCCCTTCCCTGAGGAGTTGGGGGACATGAGCAGCAGGGGGGTGGCCCTAGGCCTCTTGGAGGAGGGCAACAGGAACACAGCCCTCACCCTGCCCCTGGCTGATCCAGGACTCTGACTATGTGGTCGCTGTGAGAAACTTTCTGCCTGAGGACCCGGCACTGCTGGCCTTCCACAAGGGTGACATCATCCACCTGCAGCCCCTGGAGCCACCTCGAGTGGGTCAGTGCCATGGGGTGGGGAAGGGTGGAGATAGGAGGGGAGGCTAGGCCGGGGGCCTCCTGGCAGATGCTGACACAAGCCCCGCCCACAGGCTATAGCGCCGGCTGTGTGGTCCGCAAGAAGGTTGTGTACCTGGAGGAGCTGCGGTGTAGAGGCCCTGATTTCGGTGGGTACCCTGGATACCCCAAACCTGGAAACCCCAAACAGGGTTCACCCTAGTTTCACACACTTGCACCACAGATGCAGTGAGGGTTTCTTGGTGCCCCAAAGGGGTCCGGCCTGACCAGGTCTCCTAAGGTCCCTGCCATGCCCTGTCAGTGCCTGTCATGCTCTGGTGGCCCCACAGCCCAGCCCTCTACCTCTGCATGTGGGTGTCAGTGTTTCCATGTTTGTGGCCTGAGCCTCTCTGTGTCTCAGTGCACCTTGAGGGGCCTCAGCACTGCTTTGTCTTTTTGCCACACCTGCCAGTACGGTCCTGTGGCCCTGCAGGAGCCCCTTCCCTTCCCCAAGCCTGTTTCCTCCTCTGTAAAATGGGCTCCGTGGCCTGGCCTGCCTCATGGAGCTCTAGGGAGGGGTCAAGGAGGTACCTGAGTATCCCTAAAGAGCCCCCTTAGTCCCAAGACAAGACTTTCCTATTTGCCTCAGACCCTTTACTGGCCCTGTAGGCTGGAGGTTCGGGACCGTCCATGGGCGTGTGGGCCGCTTCCCTTCGGAGTTGGTGCAGCCTGCTGCTGCCCCCGACTTCCTGCAGCTGCCAGCCGAGCCAGGCAGGAGCCAAGCTGCCACCGTGGCTGCTGCTGTGGCCTCTACAGCCGCTGCCCAGGAGGTGGGCCACAGGAGAGAGGTGAGGCAGGCATGGCTGGGGAGGGGCGAGGAGTGCAAGGGGTAAGGCTGGAGGTGTGTGGACCAAGGTCAGCCAAGGGCGTGGCCCATCCTGGGATAGGGCAGAGCCAGGTAGAGCGAGCCAGATGTGTGGCTCGTGGGATGTGACCAGAGGTGGTTGGAGGTGTGACCAAATGGCATAGGGAGGTCATAGTGGGGGTCAGCTGGCTGTGACCAGGACAGTGGGGCTGGACCGGCCTGGGCCCGCCAGTAGGTAAAGTCAACCTGGCATGGGGCAGGGCCAGGTGAGTGGGGTGGGGGCAGGCTTGTGGAGTGGAGCTAGTGAGGGATGGAGCCAAGTCAAACCAGTAGGATGGGCAGGGTCAGCCAGGACAAGGCAGCTGGTGACGGGCCTGGTGGTGGGGCGTGGCCATGTAGGGCAGGGGGCAGGGTCATCCCAGCAAGTGGTGGGTGTGGGCTGGCTGAGGGGACGAGGCCACTGGACAGGAGTGGGTCCAGATGGGTGGGTGGGCAGCTGGAGAGAGTCTGGGCCCAGTTAGCAAGAGACTGTGTTGAGTCAGCTTTGACTGGAAGGCTAGGTGGTGTGGAGCCAGACCCGGCCTTCCTAGCTCTGCCTCTCCTCCAGGGTCCCCCAGTCAGGGTCTGCTCTGCTGACCGTGGAGAGGACGCCCTGGCTTTCCCACTGTCTGCCATGCTCGAGTTTGCCCAGAAGTATTTCCGAGATCCTCAGAGGAGGCCCCAGTGAGTGGTGGCCCCAACCCCTGTTCTTCTGGGCTTCTTGCAGCCATCTAATCTGCTGGCTCACAGGCTGGGAGGCCCAGCCAGGTGTGAAGTCTACCTTCAGTTTCAGTCTCTGGAGACCTTCCTGCCTGGTAGACTGACCAGAGAGGGAGTCAAGAACATTTCCACATGGGAAAGGATGCAGCCAAAGACTTGGAGGCAGGACTGCTCAGTAGAGCCCACCTCCTGTTGCAGGGATGGCCTCAGGCTGAAGTCCAAGGAGGGTCAGGAGTCCAGAACCTTGGAGGACATGCTTTGCTTCACCAAGGTATCCAGACCTGGGCCTCAGTTTCCCCACCTGTAAAATGGTGATGCAAGAGCCCCCTCCCAGGCCCCTGGGGCAAACAAGCTTGTCCCCAGTGAGACCCTCTAGCTCTTAGCACCCTGAGGGGTCTGGATTCCTTCCAGGGGCAGCATCTGTCCCCAGTATTGGGCGTGGCTCCCCTTTTGTGACATGGGCCCTCTTGCCATAATATGTCCTCAAAACACGATGTGTCCTTCTGACATATTCCTCTTCATCATGACACAGGATCCCCTCTCCCCCCCAACAGATGCCGCTCCAGGAATCCCTCATCGAACTCAGTGACAGCAGCCTCAACAAGATGGCCACCGACATGTTCCTAGGTGTGGGGGTGGGACTGCAGCCACCCTCCAGTGGAACCCAGTGCTGTGTGATCCCTGCTGGTCATCACTCCTCTATGGTCCTCAGATTCTTTCCTTCCCCCCACCTCAGACATGGGACACCTTTAAGAGAATAAAGCCTCCAGATGCCCATAGCTACAGCCTCCCAGGGAGGGGCTCAACCCTGGGGCCCCTGGGGTGGGTGGGCGGCTGGGGGTTTGGTGGGCCTGAGTGGGATAGGTCTTTCCTACAGCTGTGATGAGGTTCATGGGGGATGCCCCACTGAAGGGCCAGAGTGAACTGGACGTACTTCGCACACTCCTGAAGGTCAGTCCAGCTGGCTTTTTCAGATGCTCCCTTTCGTGCTATATAGCTGTTGCCCCTTCTGCCAACCAGGGTTGCAGGACATTTGGGTGGGAAGCTTTTCCTGTGGCTCAAAGAATTCATTCCACTGGTGGGGAGGGTGCTAGGGAAGGGACGCCAGACCCATCTCTAAGTGCCCACCCTGTTCTGTGTACCTGGTATGTGGCCTGACCCCTGGCATGTCTGGCATGTGACCTGATCTATCCTTTTTCAGATGTGTGAGGACCATGAGGTCATGCGGGATGAGTGTTACTGCCAAGTCGTGAAGCAGATCACAGACAACACCAGCTCCAAGCAGTGAGTGAGCTGGGCCTCCCCTCCACCCTGTGTCCATGCTGCAGGAGGGTCCGGTTCAGCCTCTCACCTCTCCAGGCCTGTCCTCTCCACGATTCTGTCCCCCTCACCTCTTCCCCACTCAATAGACAGAGTACAAGTTCTCAGAATTGATTGGACCCACCATTTCTGCTCTCTGAGCTTCAGTTTCCTCATCTGTAAAATGGCAGTGATAATGTATAATGTCCAAATTCTTGGTTGCAAGTAACAGAAACGCAATTCAAGCTAGTTTAAGCAGAAGAGGGAACTTATTGTTTCAGGTAACTGAAAAGTCAATGAACACATGGCTTCAGGCATATCAGGATCCAGGTGTCATTAAGAAGCAGGCTTTCATCCATCTGTGGCTCACTTGGGAGAGCGTGGTGCTGACAACACCAAGTCAAGGGTTAAGATCCCCTTACCGGTCATCTTTAAAAAAAAATAAAGAAGAAGAAGCAGGCTTTCTCCATCTCTTGGCCCTGCTTTTCTCTGTGTTGATATCATTCCCAGGCAGTCTCTCTCACAGATGGGCAAAGTGGCAGCTCTGGGGAGACATTTCCCCAGTTTAACAATCACAGGGAAAGCAAGACTGACCCAATATTTGCTGCAAAAAGTTGCAAATCCAGTGTTATTGGCCTGAGTTGGTCACATGTTCATCCCTGAACCAACCACAATGCCTGGAAGATACAGAGAGCTAGCTAATTGGTTATACCTGGGCCACATGCCTGTCCTCAAACAAATCACCATAGCCAAAGGGAGGCTTTCCTCTAACTGGCCGGTCCTGGATTATATGCCCATCCCTAAGTCAGTCACTGTGTCTAGTCTAGGGAGCTACAGTGTTCTAACTGGCCAGACCTGACTCCCTTACCCATCTCCAAACCACAGGGATCCAGAGAGGGGTGGGTGGTTTCCCAAAGGAGCCCCAGTTGCTGACCCCAGACACCAGAGGTCCCCACATTTGAAACCCTCACACCCAGGGCAGTGTAAAGATGAATTACCGTGTTTTGCTCATGCAGGATCAGCACACAGTAGGTGCCCAATATGTGTGCTGTTCTTGTTACCACTGGGCCCACCCTCCTGTCTCCACCTACTCCACTCACTTGCTTTCCATCTCCAGGGATTTTAGAACACCTCAGCACGTTCTGCTGCTCCCAGCCCCAGCCCTTACCTGCCACTACCTCTGTATAGCCCCAGCAGGTTCTCCCTTGCCCAGAAGCCTCCCCAGAGAGATCCCCTACCTGGAAAGATATCTGGGGCCTCTTCCCCTTCCTTCCCTTTCTCCCACTCTGACTCCCCAAGCAGAATATATTTTCTGCTTGGTTTTGGGGCCTACCCACCCTACTGTCACTGGGCAGAAAAGAGCATCCGCAGAGGACAAGAGCTGCCTGAGAGCTGGAAGCCTCCAGCCCAATCCCAGGAGACTCCTGGCACACACACTAGTGCTATGGCCACCTGTGATGTGTCCCCACATGTGTGTCCTTGCAGAGACAGCTGCCAACGAGGCTGGAGGCTGCTGTATATCGTGGCCGCCTATCACAGCTGCTCCAAGGTCCTCCACCCACACCTCACTCGCTTCCTCCAAGATGTGAACCGGACCCCAGGCGTGCCCTTCCAGGGTGAGGGCCAGTGAGTGGGACCCAGAGCTGAAGCCTCTTGGGTGCAGACTGCATGGGCAGCTGGTAGGAGGGGAACTCAGAGGGCCTGACCCTTCACAGGTGCCTGGGTAATGTTTACTAATATTAATTTATTCCCCAAACATTTGCAGAGGTCCCATAGGGGCTGGTGCAGTGGGTTGTCTGATCTTATGGTGGGACTAGCCAGGAAAGGCTTCCTGGAGGAGGTATTGCCCTAGGTGGTGAGCACATAGGAGGGATTTCCAGGTGGGCTGAGTGGCAGGAACAAAGGTCCAGAGGTGGGAATGTGTGGCATGTGGGAGAAGAGGAGAAGGGAGTGGGCAAGAACCCAGGGCACAAAACTCTGCTTCTCTGGCCATCGGGACTCAGCAGGGGTCTTGAAAGGATGCAGGCAAGGGTGGGCCCAAAGCTGCTGCCCTTTCCTGCTTGGAGTATGAAGGGAGGGGCTGTTCCTCGGCCTTGTTTCCATAGCAACCTCTGGGGCCCTCTAGGAAAGATGCTAGGGCCCCTTTAGTCACATGGCAGCCATCAAGGAGATAAGAGACCTAACTGTCCCTGCCTCTGAATCCTCCTCTTTGATTCAATTAACAAACATTCTCAAACCCAGAGAAAAATTGACCCAGCTCCCCAGGGAAGGACTCCCAGTTGTATGAAAGCAGCAGAATGTACCCTAGAACTCTTGATTCCCTCCCTGGAGCAGGGTGAGGGCACTGCTTAACCCAGAGAATGGAGCACTGATGCTGGGTCTTGTGCACTGGGATGCCTAGGTGAGGCGGGGCAGTTGGCAAGGGGGTCCCAGCTGGTGGGGGCAGAGCTGCATCACCCTAGCCACAGGACCTGTTAGGGGCAAGTTCCCCAATCAATAGCTCAGTGACAGCTGTTTCCAGGCTCATAGACAACCAAGGGGACTGTGGGCCAGACAAAAAGCCTTAACCACGTGAGATGTGGGTAAAATCCAGCACTTAAACGCTAGCTCCCGACCTTGGGCAAATCACTGTCCCTCTCTGAACTCAGTTTCTTCAGCTATCAAATGGGGGAGTAAATGCCTGCCCCACAGGTTGCCAAGAAAATACAGTGGGTTCATAGCTGGTAGCAAGAGGAACCCCTTTCTCTCTACCCTGGGCCAGGCCTTGACATGCTGCCTTTGCAGGGATCGCCAAGGCCTGTGAGCAGAACCTGCAGAAAACCTTGCGCTTTGGGGGCCGTCTGGAGCTCCCCAGCAGCATGGAGCTTCGGGCCATGTTGGTGAGTGTGTGGTGGGGGAGGGGGAACAGGATGAGTGGGAGACAGGAGCCCTGTCCAGAGACCCCTCTGTCAGGTGCACATGTGCTGCTCATGGGCATGCAGATTGGTCCTGTTAGGTCCAGGTGCACAAGTGTTCCTGCTCATGCATGCCCGGGGCCCCTGGGCTTGGAGGCTCCCATGGCAGGGGACAACGGCTGTACCAGAACCCAGGACCCAGCCTCTCATCTCTCTCCTACGTCCCCACCCCAGGCAGGCCGCAGTTCTAAGAGGCAGCTCTTTCTTCTTCCTGGAGGCCTTGAACGCCATCTCAAAATCAAAACGTGCACCGTAAGTGAGGGAATGTCTCTGGCAGGCAGGAACTGGAAGGACAGGGACACTCCAGTCTCCCAGATGGGGGTGGGGTGAGCCCCCAAGGCTGCTGGGCCCCTCCCAGGCTCTCCCACAGCCCCTCAAGGCAGGACTTATTCCTCAGAAGAGCAAACTGAGCCTCAGAGAGGTTAAACCTCCACCTCAGGGTCATCCTGCAAATAAGGGACAAAGACAGAATTCGAACCTAAGTCTCAGACTCCAAAAGCTGTGTTCTTTCCCCACATGAGGCTGACTCAGAAACTCAGAGGATCCTGTGCTTCTGTGAAAAGGGCTGAAGAACTCTGCACTTGGCCTCCTTGGCCTGGGTGGGGCGGAAGGACAGAGGTCAGTCCCAGCTAGCACAGCCTCACCCTCCTGCCCCACCCAGGTGGCCCTGGACGTGGTGGAGGAGATCTGTGCTGAGATGGCTCTAACCCGCCCCGAGGCCTTCGATGAGTATGTCATCTTCGTTGTCACCAACCGAGGTGGGTGCATGAGCATGCTGGGCTCATTCTCACCAGTGGGCCTTTGGCCATGTGGGGCCCTCCACCCAACCTTTAAGGCCCAGGTTGGGTGCCACTTCCTCCAGGAAGCCCCATGGTCCCCATGTGGAAGGACCTCTGTGTGTTCTGAGCACTCCCAGCCCTTCATCTGTCCCTCTCTGCTTTGTTTTGCATAAGTTTGTCTCACCTACCAGACTGGGGTCATGGAGGACAGGGCCTTCTCTGACTCCTCTTTTTGGCCTGCTCAGGGAAAAGGTGTGGGCCTTGTCTTCAAGGATCTTCCATCCTGGGAAGGTTTCCATTAATAGGCCTGGACTCCAGGAACCCAAAGGTGCAAGCACTTTTTCCTGCCTCTCATACCTTAATAGCAGCCATAGGAGCCCTTTTCCTAGGTCTCACTAGACCCTTCTTTCTAGGGCTCCTGGGACCTTAGGGGACCTTCACATAGCCCAAAGCCCCTTCCATCTGCTGCCATCAACTCTAGATCATGGTCTTGCCTCCTGCCACCAGCTGGTCAGCTTCATCCAGCTCTCCCCACTACTACCTTGGCTCTAAACCTTGTACCCTCAAGCCCTGCCTGCCCAAGTCCAGCTGAGATGTAGGGGGAGGGGCTGGCGGGTAACAAAGTGTCCTAATAACCGACATTTATTGAGCAGATAGTATGTCCCAGGCACAGTTCAAGGCATTTAATTCTATAAACTCTTTGAATCCCCACAACAATCCTATGAAGTGGAGACTATCATTCCCATTTACAGATGGGGAAACTGAGGCCCAGGGCAGCTGTATTAGTTTCCTATTACGGCTATAACAAATTACCACAAACTTAGTAGCTTAAAACAACACAGATTTATTATCCTACAGTTCTGAAAGGCAGAAGTCCTAAAGCAGGAGTGTCGTCAGGGCTGTCGTGGGACTCCTGTTTGGAGGCTCTAGGGGAGAATATTTTTTCTTGCTTTTTCCAGCTTCTAGATGTTGCCTGCATTCCTTGGCTCATGGCCCCTTCCTCCATCTCTAAGGCCAGCAGTGGAGAATCTTCAAATCTCTCTCTCCTCCTCCCAACCTCTGCTTCTGTTGTCATGTCTCCTTCTCTGACTGTGACTTTCCTGCCTCCCTCTTATAAGGAGGCTGGTGCTTACATTGGGACCACTTTGATAATCCAGGACCGTCTCTTCTTCCCAAGATCCTTAACTTAATCACATCTACAAGGTCTCTTTCCCCAGGAAGCTAACATATGCATAAATTCTGGGGATTAGGACATGGACATCTTTGGAGGGGCCATCACTGAGAGTACCATAGAGGTTAGGTGACTCCTCCGAGGTCACATAGTGGGGATCAGAACCCGGGTAGTTTGGCTTCAGGAGTCTGTACTCTCGTCCTCATGCCAAACCCCCTCTCTGTGGTAAAATTTTGCTGAAGGTGTGAAATGGGGGGTGGAAGTATGTGTGCAGGAGAGAAAGGCTCAGACCCCAGTCCTCCTTACCCCCCCAACCAGGTACCCAGCCAGGAGGTGCTCCTCTCCTGAAAGAGGTCTGCAGAAAGACATCAACTGGGTCTCGTGGTCTGAGGCCTGTTGTGCTTCTCCCTGTCCCCAGCCTTTCTCTGAGCATAACCCAGCACTCTCCCCAACCCAGGCAGGCTGCCCTCAAGGTGCTCTCCAGTCCCGCCCCTCCCCCAGGAGAAATGGAACATTTCTTGTAACTTTGAATTCCCATCTGTGGTCACCAGCATTTCGGTAAAACATAGGACACCCTGTTCCATAAACATGCTCTCCTTTGATGAGGAAGCCATGTCCCAGAGCAGGGAGGTGGCTTGTTCAAGGTGATGCCTTGCCTGGGTAGCAGGTTGGGGTCTACACACATGCTCAGTACAGGTGCACACATGTGCACACATGTGCCCCCACCCAGCCCTGCCTCCCTGCTCTCTACAGGCCAACATGTGTGCCCGCTCAGTCGCCGTGCCTACATCCTGGATGTGTCCTCAAAGATGGAGCAGGTGGATGGTGGCTACATGCTCTGGTTCCGGCGTGTGCTCTGGGATCAGCCACTCAAGTTTGAGAATGAGTTATACGTGACCATGCACTACAATCAGGTTAGCACATGTGGGCCACTCTGCTGCTCTGGGACCTCCTGGGCTTCCACGGGCCTATGAGCTCAGACTCCACAGCCTTGGCATTTGAGGCCTTCATGTTTCAGGCCCCACCAGTGTTTCTAACCCTGATACCTCTGCTCCCCTGTGTGGTCTCCTTGGAGCAGTCAAAATAGTGTCACCCTCACTCCCTGATTCATGGGCCTTTGCACATACTATCACTCTGTCTGAACTGCTCCTTCCTACTTCTGCTTATCTAAGTCCTCCCTGGCAAGGCAACCACCAAGCAGCACCTCTTCCACAAAGCCCTCTCTAAGTTCCCCTTTCCTTCTGATTTCTTCCTCCTTGGCCTGTCCCTCATTCAAAGGCCTGAGCGGGTCTTTGCTAGTATTGTTACTTTTGCCTTGTGTTATTCTCCTTTGAGACTTAGAAGTCCTCTAAGACAGAATCATGGAGTTTACAAAATCTGGGTTCTCCCCTACTGTGCCAACATTTGTGGAAGTGCTTGGACAGAAAGCCTGTGTTTTTGTGGAACTGGTGCCAAAGCTTCAGCAATTCCACACACAAAGTACGGTCATTTGGCTTTTGTGGCCACATGGTGTCGCTGCTGAAGCCTAGGCTTGGGTGGTCTAGTACTGTGCTACTCAAGGTGAGCTTTGTGGACTGGAAAAAGTTGATTGCAAATTCTCAAGTCCAACCCCAGATCTACTGGATCAGAATCTCTGGGGGTACAGCCCAGCACCCTGATTTAGCAAGCCCCTCATCCTTGTGCGCCCCACAGGTCCTGCCCAACTACCTGAAGGGCCTCTTCAGCAGCGTGCCATCCAGCCGGCCCAGTGAGCAACAGCTGCAGCAGGTGTCCAAGCTGGCTTCTCTGCAGCACCGTGCCAGGGACCACTTCTACCTACCCAGTGTGTGAGTACCTGACCTCCTGTCTTATCTGGGTTGACAGGCTACCTGGCCCTTTCACCCACCCCACCTTCCTCAGAGCTGGCATACCCAGGCACCCAGCCTCCGCTCTTGCACCAGGGAGGCTGTCTGGGAAGGGGCTGTCCTGACCTTGGGGCTCAAGTCCTCCAAGTCACCATAAGAGGTAGGACCCTGCCTCTCTTCCACAACAAGTTGCTTCTGAGTTATTAATAACTCAGAGCAAACTTAATGATAAAAATTTTTCAGGACACACATACCCTTGTTGTCCATGGCTATGCAGAAAGATTTAGCTACAAAAATGTTACAGTGGTGATGTCTGCAACAGCAAAAGACTGGAAACAACCTCAATATCCAACAACAGGGGATTTGTGACGTAAATTCTGGGGCCTTATCCTTTAAACTGATGTTCTCAAAGGTGTGATTAATGCTCACAGTGTGAATCAGTCATTTTGAAATTTTTGGTCTCAGGACCTTTTTACTCACTTGAAAGTGAGACCCCAAAGAGCTTTTGTTTGTGGGCCGGCCTGTGGCTCACTCGGTAGAGTGCGGTGCTAATAACACCAAGGCCCTGGGTTCGGATCCCACATAGGGATGGCCGGTTCGCTCACTGGCTGAGCGTGGTGCTGACAACACCAAGTCAAGGGTTAAGATCCCCTTACCGGTCATCTTTAGAGAGGAAAAAAAAAAAAAAAAGAGCTTTTGTTTATATGGGTTCTATCTATTTATACATTCACCCTATTCAAAATTAAAACTGTGAAAAAATTTGATATCAATTTATTAATTTATTTAAAAATAAGAATGATAAACCATTACATATTAATATAAATAACATTTCATGAAAAATAACTATTTTCAAAGAACAATTTAGTGAGGAGAGTAGCCCTGTTTTACATTTTGCAAAGCTCTTTACTGTGTGAGTTAATAGAAGACAGCTGGATTCTCAGAGCTGCTTCTGCAGTCAGTCTGCTCTGGTCTCACACAACAGGGATCCTAGAGGCACGGTCCTGGTGATGATTGAGCACCTGCTGTGTTCCAAGGCACCGTGTGAGCCTTTACGTGTATCCGCAACCTGTTTACACTCCCCAGCATTTAGTCCTCTAGGGAGGTGTAGAAATCATGTCTGCTTCACATACTTCCTGCTGTGGAGTGAGGATCTGAATGAGGCTGCATGGGCAGAGCACACTATGGTGGGCATTGAGGCCCCCTTTCCCCTCCACATGCAGGCGGGAGGTCCAGGAGTACATCCCGGCCCAGCTCTACCGCACAATGGCCGGCTCGGCCTGGCTCAACTTGGTCAGCCAGCACCGGCAGCAGACGCAGGCGCTCAGCCCCCACCAGGCCCGCGCGCAGTTTCTGGGTAAGAGCTGGGCAGGGAGTGGTAGTCATGGCTAGGGAAGGGGGTCCTGGAGGATGAGGATAGGGGCACCTTTTTCTTTGCATAGAAGCATTTTCAAGGGCCAGCCCGTGGCTCACTCGGGAGAGTGCAGTGCTGATAACACCAAGGCTGTGGGTTCGGATCCTACATAGGGATGGCCAGTTCGCTCACTAGCAGAGCGTGGTGCTGACAACACCAAGTCAAGGGTTAAGATCCCCTTACCGGTCATTTAAAAAAAAAAAAAAAAAAGCATTTTCAGTGCCAACCAAGCTGAGCACCTATCTAGAGAGAGCACCTTTTAAAAATTTTCATGAAGATGTCACCTAGGCTCAGGGTGGCCCTCGGCAGAGAGAGCTAGAAGTTAGGGAGAAGAGCTCTGAGCAGGGATAGAGGAAGAGGCCATGAGATGGGGAGGCCAGAGAGGTGGGAGGAGACCCAGAGTGAGGCTCCTGTGCTGGACACAGCAGAGGGAAGATGCGGGCTGCAGGCTGGCCATACCGTTCAGGGCCATGGCCATCACGATGACCCCTGCCTATCAGGCTTACAGCCCGTCTCCCCACCCCAGGCCTCCTCAGTGCCTTTCCTATGTTCGGCTCCTCCTTCTTCTTCGTCCAGAGCTGCAGCAACGTCGCTGTGCCAGCCCCGTGCATCCTTGCTATCAACCATAACGGCCTCAACTTCCTCAGCACCGAGAGCCACGTGAGTGGCCTCTTCCAGGCACTGCCCAGCACCACCCTCTGTCCCCTGACCCCCCACCCCTTCCAAGGGCCAAGATCTCCAGCTGTGGACAGCCCAGCTCTACCACTAACAGCCTCTGAGCTTCGCTTTCCTCATCTGGAAAATTGAGATTATAGTAGAACCCACTACTAGGGCTGTGATGAGGGCACAGTGAGGTAAAACACACATGAAGCACTCACGTAGTGCCCTGGCTTGCTCACGCTGCCATAACAAAATACCACAGATTGGATGTCAAAAAAAATAGAAGTTTATTTCTCACAGTTCTGCAGGCTGAAAGTCCAAGACCGAGGTGTAGGCATGTTTGGTTTCTCCAGAGGTCTCTCTCCCTGGCTTGCAGACAGTCACCTGCCTGCTGTGTTCTCACATGGCCTTTCCTCTATGTGTACATGTTTTGGTGTCTCTGTGTGTTTCCTCTATGTGTACACGTCCTGGTGTCTCTGTGTGTGTCCACATTTCCTCTTCTTAGGGCTGGCCAGTCAGCTCAGTTGGTTAGAGCGTGGTGCTGAGAACACCGAGGTCCAGGGTTTGGATCTCCTTACTGGCCAGCCACCAAAAAAACCCAAAAACAAAACCAAATTTCCTCTTAGGACACCAGTCAGATTGGATCAGGGCCCACCCTAACAGCCTCATTTTAACTTGATCACTTCTTGAAAGCCTCTACCTCCAAATACAGTCACATTCTGAGGTACTGGGGGTTAGGGCTTTAACATATGAATGTGGAGGTGTATTAGTCAGGGTTCTCCAGAGAGACAGAATCAATAGGATATGTTATATGAGAGGGATTATTAGAAGAATTAACTCACGTGGCTGTGAAGAAAAGTCACACGATAGGCCGTCTATAAACTGGATGCCGGTAGCATGGCTCAGTCCAAGTCCAAAGGCCTCAAAACCAGGGAAGCTGATGGTGTCCTTGGTGTAAGTTCTGGAACCCAAAAGCTGAAGAGTCTCGAGCTCTGATGTCCACAGATAGGAGAGAAGAGTGCATCCCAGCTCCAGAGGATCGAGAGAGCTACACCTCTTTCCGCTGTCTTTTGTTCTCTATGGACCCCCAGCAGATTGGATGGTTCCAACCCACATTGAGGGTGGGTTTTTCGCACCCAGGCCACTCAGACTGTCATACTAATCTCTGCTGGAAACACCCTCATGGACACACCTGAAAAGATTGCTTTACCAAGTTTCCCAGCACTCCTTCATCTAACCAAGTTGACATCTAGAATTAATCTTCACAGGGGGGACACAATTCAGCCCATAACAAGTAAGACCTGTTGCCCCTTTTCTTAGTTTTGCTGCCTGAGATGAGGATTCCAGGGCAAATGGCTTATTTGGAGGTGAGTCTAGGAAACACTAGAGTGAAGAAGGAAGACAGGGTAGGGACAGAGCCAATAAAGGGTGTGTTACTAAGTCAGTTGCCTTCAGCTGGAGAACCCTGGGAGACAGTGGAGAACATTCCTTCTCTCCTAGGCATGAAGGAGCTGGAGTGTCTATCCACCCCTCTCCATCTGTCATTAGTAAAGGGCATCTTTCTGAGGCATTAACTTTCTATCACTCTGACTTTTCCTGCAAGTGGTCCAAGTTTGCTCCTCAGGCCAGAAATAAAGCCCGCAGACAAAGAGGTGCAGGTGTTCACAAGAAGCAGCTTTGATGTGAAGGTCAAGGTACCAACAGTATCCACTACACTGCTGTTTCCCAAGCATTTAGAGCAGTGTTTGGCCCACTGGAGATACATTATCAGTATTTGTTGAATCAGTTTCACAGGTCCAGAGAGGTCAAGTGACTTGCTTAAGGTTGCACGGCAAGTCACTGGGGAACTGGTACTTGAATTGGGGTCTCTTGCCTTCTACTAATCTGATTTGCAGGGGAGCGGTAAGGGTGATTGAAACTATCTCCACCTACAAGCCTGGCCCCTCTTCCCCCACCCTCAGGAAATAATGGTGAAGATCCCCCTGAAAGAGATCCAGTCAATGTGGACCCAGCGGCCCACAGCCAACTCCAGCTACCCATATGTGGAGATCGTGCTGGGGGATATGGCGGCCCAGCGTACCATGCAGCTGCAGCTGGAGCAGGTGGGCCCAGGCTCCCCATCCCACCCCACCACCGGCCAGGCCTTGTAGCCCAGCCCCTCACTCCCTCATTCCACTCACCAGTCTCTTCTCTGGGCCTGGCTTCAAGGTAGGTCAGGTCCTGGCCATGCCCCAAGGGGCATCCAGCCCAGTTCAGGGGACAGCACTGTGAGTCATTAAGTCATTACAGTAGTCTTCCAGGGAAGCAACTTGGTAGTGGAACCATGGGAAAGGCCCAGGTTGTTTGCAGAATAGTGAGGTGTTTGATGGGGCACCAGGGAGACATGACCAGGGGAAGGTCGGTCTTGGAGCTCCTTGAATATCAAGCTAAGAACCTGGGGCTTTCTCCTGAGGGCACTAGGGAGCCATAGAAGGTTGGTTGGTGAGACAGCAGGGACAAAGGAGATTTGAGGAAGTTCACCTGGGGTGAGGCATGGAAGCTGGATTATGGGCCCTGGGACTGAGGTTGGGGAAAGTGGTGTCTCCATGTGACATACAGGGAAACTGAGACCCACCTGCCCTGTGCCTTATGTTTGTAGCAACTGTGGATTCTACTTAAAAGGTATGAGTGACCTCTAGGCTCCTGTCCAAGTCTCATAGCCCGCTGGGGGCAGGTTAGGACCAGAGCTTTCACCCACTGGAGAGATAGGACTGAGGCCAAGAGAAGGGACAGACTCAGGGCTGGGGCCCACACATCTCCCCATGATAGGGCACCTTGGAGGAGCTGATTTCCCTAGGCAAAAGAGAGACTTCCCCAACCGTGCCTCTGAGGCAGAGGACCAGAACAAAGTCCCCTTGGCCCCCCTGTGCCCCTTGGAGACCTGTGACTTGGGACCAGGCTCCCCAATCCACTTCCCATCATATGTCAGTCAGCTCCTGCCAGGGTCACCCTGATCCTTGCCTTTTAGCCTTGGGCTCCAGGCCTGCTCTGCTTCCCAGAACCCACCTCTCTGAGCTCCTACAACGATGCTCTTGTGTCCTTCTACCTCCTCATCCCTGCCTGACCGCTTTTCTTTGGCTCCTTTTCTGGTGCCTCCTCCCCTAGACAACGTCTAAATATTGCTGAGTCTGGGCCCCTACCCCTGAGCACCCTGCCTGGTCCTAAGGTATTCAAAACTCTCTCTACTGTGGCCTCTTCTCCCACCCCTCTCTCCTCTGCTCACTCAGGCCATCCTGGCTTTTTCCACCTCCCTTATGCTGAGCTTGCCCTCCTCTCCCTACCCCAGGCCCTTTGCACTCACTATTCCCTCTACCTGGAATGCTTTTCCCTGATTCATCACAGGGCTCACTCCTCCCTTTATTTGGGTTCCAGCACAAAAATCACCTCTTTCTAGAGGCCTTTCCTGACTCCCATCCCTAAGAAGTCACTATCCCTACCTTGGTAGCCCCCATTTTGGCTTGCAAATCATTTAGTTATTTATCTATTTACACATTGTCTGTTTCCCCAGAAGAATGTCAGCTCCAAGAGGGCAGTGCTGCATGTCCCTCTTGTTCACACTGTATCCATGGTACAGTGTCTGGCATGTAGTTGATGCTCAATACATATTTGTTGAATGGATGAATGGATGAAGGCCTTTTTGGCTTCTCTGCTTCCTTCCAGACCTGTTTATGGTGCCATTGGGGGGATGCATTCATTCATTCATTCAACACATAACCTTATAACACCAAAGTCAAGGGTTCGGATCCCCTACCAACCAGTTGCCAAAAACCTCCACAAATAAAACACATAACCATTGAGCATCTCTGCATAGCAGGCTCTGATGAGGCCACTCAGGCTTAGAGAGATGTAGTAACTGGCTCGGGGTCACACAGTTCACATGCAGCAAAGCTATCAGATGCACTTGGTTTCCTGCTTGCTTAACCCTTCTTGCCTACAGCCCACCATTCTGCCTTCCTGTTCCTTACTCTCCTCCCAGGGCTCTGGGGGAGGTGGGGAGAGGGTCTCTGTGTGGATCGTGGTGTCCACCTCTCTCCCAACCACATCTCCATGCATGTCCCACCCCAAGGTAAGAGCTAGGGAAGTGCTGAGTGGACATGGACTCTCATTTGTCACCTGCAGGGCCTGGAGCTGTGTCGTGTGGTGGCTGTGCACGTGGAGAACCTGCTGAGTGCCCGCGAGAAGCGGCTCACACTGCCCCCCAGTGAGATCACCTTGCTTTGACCCAGTCTCCAGCCCTCCAGCTGCCTTCTCCAGACATACTGTGCGGCCTCAGGGGTGTCACTGGACCTCTCTGGGCCTGTGACCACTGTAAGAGGCCAGAACCTTGGGGAAGACTGAGAGGAGGTAGGAGGAGCAACCCAAGAAGCCAAGAGGACCCATTCAGAGTTGTGATGCAATTCCAGCATGCAGACTTGGGTTAGACAGCAGGAGAAAATTTCAAAGGCTAGCCCATGGTACAGTGGAACAGAAGGTGGGACCATGGGACCTCCTCCCATGTACCCACTGCAGAACCTGCCCCTGACTCCCACTTATGGCAGGGAAGCCCCACACCAGTGGCCTAGATGAACTGGACTCTCCCTTTGATTTACTCAGAGTTTGATGTTCAAATCTGCTCCAGCTCCATATCCCAGCCCCCCACGTCCTCCTCCTCCTCAGGTGCCCCACCTTGTACTGCCTCTCAGCCTGGATATGTGGCCTTAGTCATTTCTGTGCAAATAAAAGGTGTGCCTGGCAGCCATCTCCTCCATGGAGTTGCTAAGTGGCTGGAAAATACGCCTGAGGAGACAGGAGTTGGAGGCACAGTTGTGCCCTTGACTCACTGCCTATGAGCAGAGCTTCCAGCAGAGATGTCTCCCCTTATGTCTTCTTTCAGACCCCTGTCCCCCTACTCCACACTCCTTGGGTAGCCCCATTCCCGGGCCACCATCACCTGATGGCCCACACAAGATTTGAGAGTGGTGTAGTGGAGCGAGGGATAAGTTCCATCTTGGGCCTGGGAGGGAGAAGCCTGGGAAAGGGCTTCTCAGAGAATGGTACATCAGGGTTGGGCTTTGAAGAATTAGTAGGAGTTTGCTAAGAATAGATAGATGGAAGGCAGGGGGATAAACATTCAAAACAGAGAAAACCATGTTTGTTCCCTGCTGTGTCTCCCAGAGCCTAGGATGGTGCCTAAAACAGAATAGGCACTTAAAAAATACTTGTCACATGAATGAAAGAATAAATGAATGAATGAATGTTGATGGAAAGTGCTGGTGCTTTGGGGAGCTGGGGGGGGCGGGACACTAGGCTTGGGAGTGGGAGGCTGAATAGGTAAGTGGGGCATAACTGCAGGAGCCATGGCACCAGAGGATTTATTCATTCAGCCATTTAATACCTATTAAGTATCTACTGTGTACCAGGCAAATGTCAGACACGGGAAGTTGCTCACAGTCAAATAGCTACAAACCAGGACAAGATCTGCGAATAGGAGGTAGCCAGGTGACGAGGGGAGAAAACAGCATATGCAGGGACCCTGAGGTGGACATTACTAGAGCAGACATTACTAGTGGCAGGACCTGAGACTGAAGAGGTTGGCATTAAGGATTTAGGATTTCATCACAGGAGCCATGAGGAGCCCTAGAAGGTTTTCTAATCGGGGGAGGGGGGAGTTGAGCAACGCGCTTAGATTGTATTTTGAAAAAGCCATTCTGACCAATGAGCAACAGTGAATGTAGAAGGCAGGAAGACCAGAGGCAAGGCTGCTGCAGCATTAACTGGAAAATTCTTTGGCATGGATACTGGTGATGGTGACAGGATTGTGAAGAAGTTAACAGCAGAGATTTAGAAGCTCCAGATGGCAGGACTGAGGGTCAATTGGACCACACTGGGATGGAAAGGATCGAGGAAGAGCCCTTGATACAAATGCCACGGGGCTGTTTCACTTTTCACCACAGTCTTGGGTTGGCTTACCCCAGAAGCAGACCCCAAGATGAGGGAAGTAGGGAAGGAGCCAGAAAGAGAGCAGGGGCTGTGCCTTGAGGGGCTCATCTGGCTGGCCCCTGGGGTTCTGTCCACAGCCCTGGTCTGCTTGGTGCGGGAATCCCATAACAGAGTGCACTGGGCTCCAACACGGCACAGCCCTAAGGCTTTCCTTCTGCTTCTGCTTTTTTATTTTTATTTTTTGGTGGCTGGCCAGTATAGAGATTGGACCCCTCGACCTTGGTGTTTTTAGCACCATATTCTAACCAACTAAGCTAACCAGCCAGCCCACGTGGAGGGGTTTTCAGGCTCACTAATTACTTTGGCTGTGAAACACCTTCCCCAGTCAAGCTAAACTATGAGGCTCAAGGATGACATGGCAAAGAAGGAAAACGAAAGAGGCCTTTTGGGTTTTAGAATGCAAGCAAGCTGCCATGTGACAGAGGCCACTTGGAAGTGGATTCTCCACATTGAGCTTCCCTAGCTGATGCTGTGTGGAGCTGAGGAGAGCATTCCAGGCCAAATGCTGGCCAGACTGTAAACTTGTGAGCTAAATAAGTGACTGAAGTCCAAATTTGAGGGTGGTTTGTCTGGATAACCAGACATCAGGGTTTTTGGATTTCAGGACCCTGGACCTTAAGGCATAGCTTCATGTTTTACAGCCTTTCTGCTGACTCTTTGGTGGCATCAGTGAGGTCAAGCCCTTCTAAGAGGAAGGAACAATCCCAACAAGGCAGAGAGTGGAAGGAGTCTGAGTGGCAGGAGAGTCAGACCCTGTGAGCTCCTTGGACATTCTAGAGGTACTACATTGGGACCCCTACCTGGGCCAAGACCTGGAAAGACAGGAACTTCAGGTAGATGTGGGGGAATCCAGAGCAGAGGAGACCAGACCCCAGGGTTCCCTGTTCAACACAGGATGAGAACAATAGAGGAGAAATGTCTGCAAGGCATGGGACACTGAGACAGGAAAGACAGGAACTTCAGGTAGATGTGGGGGAATCCAGAGCAGAGGAGACCAGACCCCAGGGTTCCCAGTTCAACACAGGATGAGAACAATAGAGGAGAAATGTCTGCAAGGCATGGGACACTGAGACAGTCAGCTTATGAAGGCCTGGGGGTCCTAGATGGTTATGGCAGGATGCACCATGATTTGGGGGCACTAAAAAGTAACTGAAATGACATCATTGCTACCCCCAGGTGGGACAGAGGGCTAGGCTTGACCAGATTCCAGTGTCCACATACTCCCCACCCAGCATTCCTGTGCCCAGGGTGTGCCTCCTCCTGCCCAGGACCCATAAGCCTCTTAAGGGAATGTTGGCCTGGTGGTTGAAGGCCCAGACTGTGGAGCCAGAGAGGCCTATGTTCACATTCCACTTCTGTTTGCTGATTAGCTGTGTGGCCTTGGGCAAGTTGCTTGCCTTCTCTAAGCCTCTGCTTCCTTCTTTGTTAACTGAAAGCACTGACAGAGGCTTTAGGGCAAGTGCTTTCTTTTTTTTTTTTTTCCTTTTTGTCTTTTTTCGTGACTGGCAACGGATTGCAACCCTCAGTGTCGCGCCCGTACCGGACCGGGACGGGCAGCGGGATCGCAGCCCTCTGTGTTGCGCCCGCACTTCACTCAGCCAGTGAGCGGCCGGTCTGTATGTGGGATCCGAACCCTCGGCGGGAGCGCCACCACGCTCTCAAGCGGCGCACTGTAGCAGTGTGCCACCGGGCCGGCCTGTAGGGCAAGTGCTTTCTAAGTAGTCATTGTTATGTCTAGAATAGGATGCCAATGGATGTCTGGGATGGACACACATTTAAAAGCGAGTTTTTTTTTAAAGATGACCGGTAAGGTGATCTTAACCCTTGACTTGGTGTTGTCAGCACCATGCTCTCCCGAGTAAGCCACGGGCTGGCCCTAAAAGCGAATTTTACCAAGTTTTTACTATGTGCCAGTCACTGTACATATACTAATCCATTTAATCCTCAAAACACCCCAATGAGGTGGGTACTATTATCATCATTGTATACATGGGGAAACTGACTCCCAGAGAGGAGAAATGACTTGCCCAAGGTCACACATTCAGCATGTGGCCGATTGAAGATGCAAACCCAGAGGGCCAGCCCGTGGCTCACTTGGGAGAGTGTGGTGCTGATAACACCAAGGCCACGGGTTCAGATCCCTACATAGGGATGGCTGGTTTGCTCACTTGGGAGAGCGTGGTGCTATCAACACCAAGTCAAGGGTTAAGATCGCCTTACTGGTCATCTTTAAAAAAAAAAAAAGATTCAAACCCAGGCAGCCTGGCTCTGGAATCCACGCTGTTCCTCACAGACACTCAGAGAGGGGAGGGCCCTGGCTCAAGAGCACACAGTCAGGCAAGAACACATGGAAGCTTCCTATGTGGTATCTTGGGTGGGAAGGTCTCAACCTAGAGAGGAGATGATTCACATTTTTGCCTGAATGAGCGGAGGTGGCTCCATAGGGTAAGTCTCTAGGAGGACTGATTATGGGGGTAGTGAGCTCCTGGTTAAGGAGGTGTGTGAACAGAGTCTGATGTGGGAAGGTCTCAACCTAGAGAGGAGATGATTCACATTTTTGCCTGAATGAGCGGAGGTGGCTCCATAGGGTAAGTCTCCAGGAGGACTGATTATGGGGGTAGTGAGCTCCTGGTTAAGGAGGTGTGTGAACAGAGTCTGATGCCACCCTATGGGGGGGCAGTTTAGAGGTTAGAGGGTACTGGGCTTCTGAAGAGTCTGAGCCCTCATAGTCAAACTGCCCATCATGCAGGTAAGGGGGTCCTCACCAGATGTTCACATAATATGGCTTAGGCAGGACTGTGGCTAGAGCCCAGGCTACCTAACCTTGGCCTTGCCCACTGGCCACTTTCTCACTGCCTGCAGCTGCCTTCCTATCACCACCACCTGCACCCCATTAGGCTGAGCCAGGAAAGGGTAGGAGACAAATTTACTGTAGGCTTCCTACCTGCCCCATTTTCCCCTTGTCCATGCTGCTGCTGCTTTTTGGGAGGGAGGATGGCCAGGCAAGGAACTTGGGGACAGTGGCCAGGGTCCCAGGTTTTGGGCTTTTCCACTGCACAGGCCCTACTGGTCTGGCCTTGCAAGTTACAACAACCCCCACTTTCCAACAGAGACTGATGGACCTTCAGTTTACAGATGGGGAAACTGAGGCCCATACTGGAGGCAATCCCCCTGCTTAACAAAGATGACTTCATTTCACCCTCATGACAACCATATGAAGTGGTTCCTAATGCTCTCCCCCTTTTACAGACCAGAAGACAGGTTCAGAGTGGGGAAGTAACTTGCCCAGCGTCACACAGCTTGTCATGACGTCAAGACTCAAACCCGTGTTTGTCACATTCCTGAGTACCATGCTTTTGGCTTGGCAAGCTGGGGGGTGGCGAGCACTAGCCGCGAGCAAAATGGACAGGAAGGTGAGGCTGAAGGCAGCCGCTGAGGCCAGGTCATGACGATGCATTTCATTTCGGTGGAAATTTGGGAAAGCTTCTAGACGGAGGAGAGCTGAGCCTCGAAAAAAATCAAAATGAAGATGGGGGTAGGGAACTGGCGCTCCAGAGTGCAGAAACAGCCCGGGCAAAGACCAGGGGTGGCACAGGGCATGTCTGTAGACCTGGCAGAACAAGGGCGAGGCTGGAGCTCAGTGGACGCGGAGTGGAGAAGAGGCAAGGCCGGAAGGATCTCAACCCTTGACTTGTCAGCACCACGCTCTCCCAAATGAGCCAACTGGCCATCCCTATATGGGATCCGAACCCTTGACTTGGTGTTGTCAGCACCACGCTCTCCCAAATGAGCCAACTGGCCATCCCTATATGGGATCAGAACCCTTGACTTGGTGTTGTCAGCACCACGCTCTCCCAAATGAGCCAACTGGCCATCCCTATATGGGATCAGAACCCTTGACTTGGTGTTGTCAGCACCCCGCTCTCCCAAGTGAGCCACGGGTCAGCCCTCCGGAAGGGTCTTGAACAGGGGAGAGCGGTGGAACTCTATCCTGGGAAGCCATGGGAGGTTGTGGGGCAGAAACCCGTTTGTTGGAGCCGCCCAGCGCATCACGCACGGCCACGCCCTTGCTCCCGCCGGCCCCACCGCTTCAAAACTTTTGAATTGTCTCTCATCATTGTCTATAGGCGCCTTATGCCCGAGCCTATTCGTCTCAAGTTATTTTCCGTCGCTCCTGGTAAAGATGCTCCCACACCCACAGCCAACCTCCAGGCCGAGCGACGCCAACCCCCGGCGCGCCCCCGCGGCTGCGCACGCTCCCGCCTACACCGGGACGTGACTCGCCCAACGTCCGCTCCGGGCAGCAGCGGCGGCGCCTGGCAGGGAGGTGCCCCGACAATGCGCGTCCAGCTTCAGCGGCCGTCGCCGTCTGGGTTTAGAGCCGGGGCTCGGTGCTCTCGGTCCCACAGTGTGAGAAGTTTCCGTTGGTTTCAGGAGTTTCCTCAGAGGTCCCGAGGTGTTTCCTCCGATTGGGTATCCATTCAGGCACTTATTTAGCCACCCATTCACCCTTTAGGGGTCCTCGCTGCCTCTACGCCGCTAATTAAGTGACGGAAGCAGTAGTCAAGGAGACTGCCCGATTGACACACATGATTACCAACCGACTTCCGGAAACTCCGGTCTGATCCCACCCGGCGCCTGACCAGCCGCCCAATTAAAGAAGTGGAAGGGCCAAAGGGGGCGGTAACGGGGCGGCCTGGGTTGTGGCGGTTCCCCGGTGATTGCGCGCTGAGGGACTGAGGTGTCGATGGACGTTCGGACGATGCCGTGACGCGGCCGAGCGACAGTGTTGATAGCGTGAGCGCACCCCTGAGGAGGAAGCCCTTCCGTCCCGGAGGCGGCGCGGCGTGGAGGCAGGTTGCTATTTGAGAGAGCTCCCTTGAAGCTCTTCAGTGAGTGGGGGAGGGGCGGCAGACGACGGGCGTCCGCGTCTGCGCTTGCGCTGGTCCCTCTGCCGACCCGGTCCTCACGCACGCGCATGCCCGGAGCTCGTGAGCCGCGGTGTCCGGCAGCACTGCGCGTGCGCGGTGAGGGGCCTACTGAGGAGCAGCGCTGGCCGACGTCGGGCGGGCGGCCCGTGACGTCGTGAGGAGCGCTTTAAAGTGCGGGCCGGGCCGGGCGTCCGAGGGTCTGGTGGGGAGTCGGGCGGATCCTCTGCAGCAGCCCTCCGCGGCATGAGGCGCTGCTGGCGCCCTTGCCCCGCGAGACGTGGAGAAAGTGGAGGAGGAGGAAGCCCCGTTGTCGCCACCGCCGCATGACCCGCCGTCCCTGAGCCCCGACCCCGCGCCCTGCTTCTCGAAGCCCCCCGCCGGGTCCTGCCGCCACGGATGGGGACCGGGCGGTGAGGACCTTCTAACCTCCGGGAGCCCCGGGGCACGTCTCCCGAGAGCCATGCCCGCCCGCCCCGGAGGACCCTAGAGCAGCGTCGCGGGGGCCATGGCTGCCGCCAGCGGCTATACGGACCTGCGTGAAAAGCTCAAGTCCATGACGTCCCGGGATAACTATAAGGCGGGTAGTCGGGAGGCAGC